AAAGAAAGAATGCGAGAAGCGCGGCCTGGAGTTTGACAACCGCATCAATGCCTGGGACATGCGCTATTACATGAACCAGGTGGAGGAGACCAAGTACAGCGTGGATCAGAATCTGCTGAAGGAGTACTTCCCCATGCAGGTGGTCACCACAGGCCTGCTGGCCATTTACCAGGAGCTGCTGGGGCTCACCTTCCATCTGGAAGAGAAGGCTCAGGTCTGGCACGAGGATGTCCAGCTCTACACGGTGAAGGACACCTCCTCCGGGGAGACCATCGGCAAATTCTACCTGGACCTGTACCCACGGTGAGGCCTCGGGCAACGTGAAGTGAGGGAGGAGGGCTAGGGCAGGGGGAGCAGAGCTTGCCGTGTGCCTGGGGAAGAGGAGAGGCCGTCCCGCTCCCAGATGCGTGGCTGTGTGGAGTGAGCGGCGTGTAATCGGGCAGGGCTGTCCCGGGAGCACAGGGTTGGTGTGGATCGCAGCGTCGCCAGGAGTTTCTGCGCTGAGCGGTGACTCGTGGCTGGCTGTGGGGCAGGATCCGTGTAACAGTCTCCTCTTCCTGGCCTAGGGAAGGGAAGTACGGGCACGCAGCCTGCTTCGGCCTGCAGCCGGGCTGCCTCTTGCCAGACTCCAGCCGGCAGATCTCGGTGGCTGCCATGGTGGCCAACTTCACCAAGCCCACGCCAGATGCGCCTTCCCTGCTGCAGCATGACGAGGTGGAGACCTACTTCCACGAATTTGGGCACGTCATGCACCAGCTGTGCTCTCAGGTGAGGCCTGGCTGGGCTGGCAGAGGGTTGGTTTGTTACCTTTCCCCTGTCGTGCTCCCCTGTGGGGTTAAATGACGCCCTGCTCTGAGCTGGCTGTGTCTCCTAGGCGGAGTTTGCCATGTTCAGTGGGACACACGTGGAGCGGGACTTCGTCGAGGCACCATCGCAGATGCTGGAGAACTGGGTGTGGGAGAAGGAGCCGCTGCTGCGCATGTCCAGGCACTACAAAACTGGAAGCCCCATCCCTGATGAGCTGCTGGAGAAGCTCATTAAATCCCGGCAGGCAAACACGGGTGGGTCCCTGCGGCGGGAAGCAGGAGCCAGCGAAGAGGGGCAGGAGGGGAGTGAGGGCTGCGTGCTGTCCCCAGCGAGGGCAGAGCCTCGCCGCAGTGTCCCCCCTGTGTGGGGAGGGGAAGGGGACCCTTGGTGACCTGGCTAGGTAGAGGAGAGGCTTTGTCTTGCTCCCTGGGGGGACCGAGAGGATGGGGGGGGAAGGAACCACGTCTGCCTGCTGTTAGTCTGGGAAGAGCGAGGGTGGTGTGGCAGGAGGTGCTGGGAGTGGCAGAGCGAGGAGAGGTGCCGGGGGAGGCAGGGATCATCTGCAGGCAGGGGTGTTGCAGCTTAGGCTGCTGAACTGGGTCGCTCTGGGGAAGCGGATCAGAAGTTGGGTGTGGGGAGAGCTGCGGGAGCCCCCCAGCCTGCCCTGCTGCGACCTGGCCTCGGAGATGCTCCTGCCTGCAGGCAGGAGCTCAGTTTGCTTCCTCCTCCTGGGAACAGGGCTCTTCAACTTGCGCCAGATCGTCCTGGCCAAGGTGGACCAGGCACTGCACACCCAGACGAAGGTCGACCCCGTGGAGGTGTTTGCCCGGCTGTGTGAAGAGGTGCTGGGCGTCCCTGCCACCCCAGGTACCCAGGGGCTTGGGGGGTCCCGCTCTCGCTGTCTCTCTAGGCCTGGCCTGTAAGCTTGGCTCAGCAGGTTCTTTTCAAGGCTGGTGCTTCAGGCTGGCTCAATGGGGACAGTTTCTGCTGGCTCCAGGAAAAGCAGGGCTGAAACCGTACAAAAGTAACTGGACGGTTCTTCCCCCTTTCCCCTGGGATTGTGAACAAGCTGACCCAACGCCTGCTCTGACAGATTTGCAGCACGGAGGGGTTTTTCCATGCTGTGGGCAGTTCCAGCAGCCTTTCCCGTTAACGCCCCTTCCCTTTCTTTGCCGCAAAGGTACAAACATGCCCGCTACGTTTGGCCATTTGGCTGGAGGCTACGACGCCCAGTACTACGGCTACCTCTGGAGCGAAGTGTACTCCATGGATATGTTCCACACGCGCTTCAAGCAGGAGGGGATCATGAACTGTAAGGTAGGGAGGATGTCCTGCGCCTCTGGGCGAGGGGCAGGGGCTGCCTCCCCTGCCAGAGGTGGTGGGAGACGGCAGCGGCGGTGGGAGGGCGGGTGTCCTATGCGTACCCCCGTCTCTCTCTCCTTGCAGGTGGGCATGGATTACAGGAATTGCATCCTGCATCCCGGCGGTTCCCTGGATGCTTTTGACATGTTGAGGAAGTTCCTGGGCCGCGAGCCCAAGCAGGACGCCTTCCTGGCCAGCAAAGGACTGAAGGTGGAGAGCAACTCACTGCCTTCAGCCTGCTGAGAAGCTGCTCCAGCCCGTTTGAGTCAAGCCAGCTCCTTTGTCTACGCACCAGTCCTCTCGGGCCAAGCGATACCGGTACTTCTGTCACCAAACGTGTCCTGGGCCAGCCCCCGCCTGGAGCTGTTCCTCCAGGATCCTGCTCCGAGCTCGCCCCGGGCTTCAGGAGCCGGATTCAGCCCTGGTCCAGGGCTCTGCGGTGACAGCTCTGCAAAAGGAGCTGAATTGCCTTTGTCACCCCCCGCGGGGGATGGGCTGGCGGTAGCCCAAACAAATTGGCTGAACTTTGAACCTGATTTCTGCACGAGGGTGAGTTTCGGCCTCATTCGTAGCCGGGGAGGAGGGTGAGAGGAATTACCAAACTTGAACCATTGTTTTAAAATCCGTTCTTTTTAAGAAATGAGAATTCCCACCAGGCTTGGCTTGTTTCGTGCCCTGGGGCAGACTTACTCTTCTGAGCACGAAACAAGCGGCCTGAGAAGCTGCGTTGGGTCATGCTCTCCCCATCTTTGGGCAGCCGGCGGCTGCGGAATAAAGATGGGGAGATCCCAGAACTTAAAAACCATTGGTTTTACTGGAGCGTCCTGCCGCAAGCCCCTCGGACGTTCCTGCCGGGGCAGCAGGCCTGGGAGTGGGGCAGAGATGGCCGGTGCAGCTCTTCCCAGAACAGGGGGGCTGGGGAGCATGGCCTGGGCCCCGCGCGCTGCCAGGCGTCCTCGGGAGGTTGTACCTTCCCCCAGGCTGTATCGGAGCTGCCGGGACCCCGGGGCCATCATAGGGTAGCCGATGCCTGCTGGGCTCGGGTCGTGGCAGCAGAGCGTTGCTATTGCTGTCACCTCTGAGCCAGGGTGGGACAGGGGAGGGCTGTGGAAATAAAAAAAAAAAAGCAGACGCCTTCAAACAACACGGATGCCGGGGATAAAAATACCAATTGGGCTTTGTGCCAGGCCTTCAGTGGCCGGGCTCTGGGTGCGGCGCTGAGCTGGGGGATGGCAGCCAGCCCTTTGCCCAGCCTTGGGAGCAGCCGGGCTGTGCCGCCTGCCCCCCGGCTCTTCCCCTCTCCCCGAGAACCTTAAAACCGGTGCCCGCGTGGCGTGGAATGGCCTGGCATGGCATGGTGTGCCTTCCTCTGCTCTCTGCTCGCCTCTGCAGTGCCGTTCCTCCTGGTGCCACCGTGCCCGAGCAGGCAGGAGGGCGGCTCTGCCGACGCGTGCGGGGCTGTGGGTCGGAGCTGCCGGAGGGGAGCGCTGACCCCAAGGGCAAAGGCTGGTTTCTGGTTTCGCTCACGTAGGAATCGCGCATGGGCTGGGAAGGGTTTTTAGCAGCGAGTGTGCGGGGCAGGAGGGAGGTAGGCCGCTTCCTCGGTAGCGGAGAGGAGCCGAGGACCGCGGAGGGGAGCTGTGAGCTCCGGCCAGTGTGAGGGATTTCTGGTGATGTGGTACTGAGGGCAGATCTCATTTTCTGGTGTCCCACCTCACCTCCAGCCTCGGCCGCTCTGTGTGACGCCGTTTGAGGGTGCGGGATCGGTCCCCGTAGCTCTTCTGCGGTTTGAGCACACGGAGGGTGCTGGCGAGAGGCCGAGCGCCCGCGCTCGCACCCACCATCCCAGCCCCGGCCTGGGCTGCGGGTGGGAGCTGCCGTCCCTCCCCAGGCTCTCGCGCTGCGGCTCCCTCCCCGGCTGGGCCGTTCCCCTTGCTCCTCTCACCTGGGCTGCGGCACCGGAGCAGCTCCGGCCTCCCTCCCCGCAGCCACTGATGAGAGCGTTGGAAGAAAGCTCGCCCCAAGTGCAGACAAAGTCGTTGCTGTCACCTCCCTCCCCCAGACCCCCCTGGTGACACGGGAGGGCCGGTGCCACCCTCCCTCGCCGGTCCCCTCTTGCGCTGACATGTGGACGGGTCCGTAAGCAGCGAAGTGGCTCCTTGGTGCTTGCTGGGGCCACGTTGAGCATCTTGTCTTTGTCCCCACCCTCTGTTTTAGGCATAGGCGAGTGTCTGTCCCGGGCGCCGGCTGCGCAGGGCCGGGCGCTCTCGCGTTGACGCTGTGGGTGTTTTAAGTGTCATGGTTTACTGAGCTTTCAGGGTTTTCTTTCAGACCTCTTCTCTCGAGGGAGAGAACTGAAGCTGAACAGGGAAACCGCGCACTTTCCTGCCTCCTTCCCAGGCCGCAGATAACTCTGTCCCTGCTGCGGGCGGTGCGGTGAGAGGCGCTGCCGAAGGCTGCGGCCAGGCAGCGCGGGGGGACCTGATGCCTCCCCAGGCGCCGCCGTTCCCTGTGCCTGGGTGATCCCCAGGGTGGCCCCGGGCTCCTCGGAGCCGCGCCTTCGCCCCCCCAGCTCCTCGTCCCCATCCCAGGCTGGCGGGGAAGAGAGGTCCCTTTTGGGTTTGGTTTTGGTTTGGTTTTTTTTCTGTTAACCTTTTCTAAGGGCAAACTGGTGTGTGTGCGCCGTTCGTAATGGTCACGTCCCACCCTGCTTGTTTCAATGACTGGATTTTAGACGGTTCCTAGCACTAATAAAGGTTTTCCTAAGCGGATGTTTGCATGGCTCAGGTCCTGCCGAGGAAGCTGCTCCTTTGCGGGGGAAGATGGTTGTCTCAGTCCCGGCACTCCTGGCACGGCCACCTCACCAGCACCGCGGCGGCCCCCCGCAGCAGCCTGCACAGTGGATCCAGTCCCATGAAAACAGGCACTGAGCGGCAGGCGCGGGGTGGAAGCGTCTCCGGCGTGAAGCCCTGGGGAGTGAGAGGCAGTGACCCTCCGTCCCTGCCGCATCCGTGGGGGCTGTGGCCCCCGCCGGCCCCGCACCTGGGTGAAGAAGCCGTGGTCCAGCACGTCCCGCAGGCTGGGCCGCTCCGCGGGCTCGGGGGCCAGCAAGCGGGCGATGAGGTCCCGGGCGTGGGGTGAGAGGTGAGGGGGCAGCGGGTACCGCGCCGCCCGGATGCGCCGGTACAGCCCCTGCCGCTGAGCCGCCTCGAACGGGGGGCTGCCCGTCAGCACCGCGTACCTGGGGGGGTCCGGCTGCTCAGCAGGGCCGGGGGCACCCCCTGCCCTCCTCCCCGCCCTCCAGGACCCCGCTTACATGGCGCAGCCCACGGCCCAGACGTCCGAGGGCACCCCGTGTCCCTTGCGGTCCAACACCTCCGGGGCCAGGTAGCCGGGCGTCCCACAGAGCGCCCTGGGGAGACGGGCAGGGTGAGCCCCGGGGCCGGCCGGTGCCTCCTGCCGCGCCAGCCCCAGGTCCCCGATCTTCACCTGCATCTTCTCGGTCACCAAGAAGTTGCCTGCGGAGGGAGATGAGCCCGAGAGCGGGGCCGGTGCCGCTCGCCCTCCTGCCGCCCCGGCTCTGCCCCACGCACTCAGCTTGAGGTCCCGGTGGACGATGCCCTGTCCGTGGAGGTAGCGCAGCCCTGAGATGATCTGCCGCAGGTAGTACCGCACCTCTGGCTCCGTCAGCCGCCCCCGGGCCCGCAGGATGTCGGCGAGGGACTGGCGACAGAGCGAGGCACCAGCTCGGGGCCTGGCAAAGCCCCGGCGCAGGGATGCTCCGTTTTGGGGTGCCGGCGCTCGCTCACCCTCCGGCTGCAGTACTCCAGCAGCAGGTAGACGTGGCTGCGGTCGGCGAAGTGCCCGTGGAGGCGGACGATGTGCCGGTGGCGCAGGCGGCTGTGCAGCTCCTGCTCCCGCTCCACCTGCATCGGCGTGAGCCTGGCAGCCCCCCGGGAGCCCTCTGGATCCGGGGACCCCCAGCATGCCCCCTCGGGGAGACGGGGATGGGCACCCACCCAGCAACCCGGGAAGGAGGGAGAAGGGGCAAGGGCAGGGCTGCGGGGTCCCCGTGGGCATTGCGTCCCCTCCCTGGGGACTTTCTGCAGCCCCCCCGGACTCACCCTCTCCCCGATGCCCACCGCGGCGAGCCGGGCCCGCGGGATGACCTTCGCCGCGTAGACCCTGCCGCTGGCCACCTCCGTCAGCTGGTAGCAGCGCCCGAAGGTGCCCTGCGAGGACGAACCCGGGGGAGTGGGAGTGAGCCGAGGGGCGAGAGGCCGCGGCAGAAGGGGGTGTTGGGGTGCCCTTCACCGGGGCCAGGGAGCCTGGGGGACCCGGCTGGCCACAGGCACCTGCTCTGGCTCGGTCCCCACGTCCCTCCGCTGCCTCGGTTTCCCCAGAGGGGATGTGGGGACGCCTCGGGGACCCCCTGCAGCCCCTCGGGGTGCCCAGCGGGGAGGGGGTGCTGGCTGGGGCTGAGGGGCTGTTTGGGGGTGCAGGGTCCGGGGCGATGGGGGATTTACCTCTCCCAGGAGCCGTCCCCGTTTGTACAGCATCCCGCTCTCCCTGTCCTCAATGTACCACCCGGGGAGCTCAGCCCCTGCGTGCCCCCGGACCATCCTGCCCTGCAAACGGGGACACCCCCAGGGACACCCCGTCACTGTAACCCCTTCGCCTCCGGGCTGGGGGTGCCCTATGGGGCCCAAGGGTGCTGGGTACGAGGGGGGGGTGGACACCCCAAGCGAGGGGGTCCTGTCTGCCCCTTCCTCACTGCATTGGGGGCTGGGGGGGGCCCCGGGGGGCGCCGGGGCTGCGGCGCATTTGGGCCACCCCCGGGCCCCCCCC